TCTGTGTCTCTCTGTGTGTGTGTCTCTCTCTCTCTCTCTCTCTCGCTCCCTCTGTTTCTCTCTCTCCTCTCTCTCTCTCTCTCTGCGTGTCTCTCTGTTCCTCTGTCTCTCTGTCTCTCTCTCTCTTTCCCTCTCCCCGGGGGATGTGCTCGCGTGCCGTCGCGGAGCGGATGTGTGAGCTGGCGTACCGCATGGGCACCTCGGACAATGTTACCGTCGTCATCGTACAGTTCCACCACTTCAGACCATTTTCAGAATAATCAATTGATGAATTGTTCCGAAAGTCGGGGAAAGAAACGCCAGAATCGGGATAATTAGTTCGTTGTTCCGGAATAATATAACGAACAGAATAGTAGCTTTTTTTTTGTTTTTTGTTTGTATGACGGTGGACGTTTCAGAAGCAAAAAAACAGAGCGGCCTCCAACCGTTTCTTTTTTTCTAGTCATGAAATTGATCACCTGCTGATGTGACCAACACTGAAATTGTTCTCTGAACGGGAACAAACGGCGGGTAAACAAAATCTCTGCTCTTTTTTGTCGTGTTTCTCTGCGGGGGAATATAGTGAGTGGTGAAGTGGTATCGGCATGGCTCGGGACAGACGAAAAGTCGCGGTTTGGTGGTTCTTGGGAGGGAACACATCAGGGGAGAGGTCATTTTTGCTACTTGTTGTACAGCGGTGCCGACAAACAAAACCATGAGAGAGAAAATGAAGTAATGCTTAACAAGCAAAAGTGAGGCAAGAACGTTCCCTGTTCCGAAAAAAATGAAAGTACAATTTTGGAGGGGGCGATCGGGAAGCAAGTAGTCCGGAGTCCTGGTTGGATGAACACGGGGTCCTGGAATTGGTGTTGTCGCGGCCGGAAGTCTGTCTACTTTGCCGCAAGATTTTGAAAAGGGCCAAACCGAGCGTCTTGGAGCCAGTAGGCGCTGTCGGCAAGTGACGAAAAGGAAGGTTCGGTCCAGACATGCATAGTAGATAATAGATAGATGCACATACGTTGCATGCATATGACAGGCCGTTGTTTCTGTTGTTGTTGCGTGTGAAGATAACCCTGCGACTGCCGCGTTGTGGTGGAACAAGAAGACGTGGCCAGCACGCCTGCCCATTTTGTGTTGTTTTTGTCACAAACTCGTGTTCGCGTGTGTTTATTTTTTTTTTTTTGGGGGGGGGGGGCGTGCGGGGCGTGCATGCTTCTCTCTTTGTTCTATTCTTGTTTGGAACCTATTTATTGAAGTATCCGTTTTCCCTTTTTTTTGCTCCGCTCCCCGAAAAAATTTGAAGGGAACAACACATCAAACACCCTGCCTGCTCAAGGGGGGCGGAGTGTTTGTTGGCAATTTTATCATGGTAATGTTGGCCGTGTGAATTGGAATTTGTCGGGGTCTCCACAACTCTTTTTTGGACGGGAACGGGCCTTGAGGGTATAACTTTTTCGCCCGGGTACTTTTTGAAAGGCCTAAAAGGCCCCCCCCCCCCCCGGGGGGAAGGGTTTTTTTCCCCCCCCCCCCCCCCGGGGGGGAAGACCCCCCGCGTTTTTATTTTTTTGGGGAAAGTTCTTTTTTTGGGATTAATTAGGAGTAAAAAAGCTGCTGCTGCTGCTGCTGCTGCTGCTGCTGCTGCTGTTTTTTTTGGCGGGAGTAGTTGTTTTTGGGGGGGGCGTACTTTAGGGCGATCGATGTGTCATTTTCCCTTCAACCCCTCCAATTGACGTGGTTTGGGTTCTCCCTTGCTCTTTTCGGGCGTTTTTGCATTGATTGTTCACGATAGGCACAGCGCATCCATGCAGTTCGTTGTGCGTACGGGGCAAGGCCTCTTCATGGGGGCAGGGCCGCGCCCCCCCCCCCCCCCCCCTAATTTTGGCATTTGCATAATCTTGATAGACTGTACATATCTTATGTCGAGCGATGACGATGGTGATAACAACGATACGGTGATTGTGTGCTCTCATTTGTTCCTGTTCTTCTTTTTTTAATAAAGTCGGTCTGTGCTCTCCGTTTCTGGTGCATTTTTTGCCGGTCTTCTTCCCGTGGGCAGCAAAGCAATTCAGTCAGAGTGATGGCAGAGAGCCTTCTGTGTGAGCCCGATCCCTTAGGGTAAATAGGAGTGCCAGCTGCGGAAACCTCTGCATGTATGGTACCAACTAAAGGTTTTTTACATCAGGTTTGTCCGTGGAGGGGGAAAGGTAGCAAAGAAGAGAGCAAAAACATCCGCCCGTCCGTCCGCTTGAAATATATCTTCCTTTGTCATGGTCTATTGAGCTTCGCGGTGACGTACGTACGTACGAACGTCGTTTCAGCAGCAGAGCAGAGTGCGGCGAAATAGCAGTGTAAGGCACTACGAGCGGTGTTACCGAGGCGTGACATTTTTTTTGGCTCTGCCCTGTGTGCACTGAGAAAAACGAAAAAAGACGGCGCGCGCGAGTTTGTCTGTCTGCCTATCGTCCCATGTCAAGAGTGCGGAACATAGAGTGCGGCGGAATTAAACCTGATTCGAGTGGTGGGTCGATGTACCGCTCGGTGTGTCTTGGTGTCTTGGTGCCGTTTCTCTGCTAAACAGCAGAAAGCGCCAAGGTGGCTAGAATAATATTCCCGTACTGCTGCTGTGAGACTGGGCAGCAAAGTTCTCTGCGGAGGGAAAACTGGTTTTAAGACAATATTCGTGAAATTGAGAGTGAAGGTTGCGATGGAGAGTGGGCTTTTCGTGGAATTGAATACATGTGTTGAGCGTGTTTTGAATTTTGTCGGAAGGAACTTGAAACCTTTTCCGCCAGGAAACGAGCAGATTTGGTAGACACGATTTTGACGGGTTCGAATTGCAGAGGACAAGGTTTTTTTAGGAAAACGAAGACAAAATGTTTCTTCCGGGGAACAGGCATGCATCGCTATGTATGTAAGTTTCATAGATGTATGTCCTCGTGGGAACTTGCCACGGATAGGGACCACATATATTTGAGACTCTCACCAATGGACAACGACATGATGAAAGAGACATGACCTCACTCACAAGATGATCGTACGCAGTGTACCTCCAGGGGACGGACCATATTTTGTTGTTGCTGCCTTCCTCGGCACGGAATGAAGGAAACATGTTGTTCTACATGCCGTATATACAGAGCTTGTCACTCACAACGTCGTCATCAACACCACACATCTAGCAAGCAACCCGACTTCTAACAACGTCGCCTCAGCCCTCCATAGCATCATCATCACTAGCAGACTCTACATAAGTAGGTTTCTCCGCGGAAGAACGAGAACTCCTCCTCTGCCTTTTCTCCCGTCCCTGGGACCCTGTACCATCCTCCCCGCTGCTGTCACCACTGTTTTCGGGCGCAACCGGGTAGTGAATCAACAACTCCTCCCCCGCCCGAACAGTGCGACTGACTCTGAACGAAACCCCTTTTGCGGCCTCTACCAACACTTTCTTTGCTTCGTCCGCACTGGCAGGCGGATTTTCGTTGAGTTTCGACTCTCTAAGCAGGTTCTGGAGGTGAGCATCTGGGAAACTTGAGTTCACGTAGAACAAGGGTGATTCACGCGTCGGTCTAAGCCACAACTTGGATCCTTCCCTCACGATTTCGTCGTCACCCAACAGTGCAACTAAATTGTCGTACTCAAGAACCGGGTACCGGGGATCCCCATCAGAATTGACCTCAGCGATCATCTCGTCCAAGGTGAGGATCTCGTAGGCTCCCATGGCGGTCATGGGAACGCCGCCGCCAAACTCGATATCCTTCGTCGCGAAGAGACCCAGACCATGCGATGAGTCCTGATCAGAGATGAAGCAGAGCGCAAAGGCATACAAGGTGTCGACAAGAAGGAAAACGGTTAGGGTCTGTCTGTCAATCCAAGCAATTTATGTGCGGGCAGCGGATGAATGTGGAGGGAGTGCACGCATCGTGAAATAAAAGCAGGTGCCAAGCACTACAACGAGGGTAAAAGGGTGTACCTTGATCTCTAGCTCCATTGCTCCCGCTAGTTCTCTGGCAACGTCCAGCGCACTTAACACATCGCCGTCGGTGTCCTCTTCGTCGTCGGTTGCTCTCTGGGATTCATACTGCTTCGCGGCATGGGCGGAAAGGTTGGAAGATGGAATGCACGACGGAAGGGTCGACCCGGTCATGATCACTTCGGTCTTGTTCAGCTCGGCAAACCACCCGTGCTTGGTCGCCGTAACACACGCCTCATTCACCTCCACCTCGGCGTTTTCTGCCTTAGTCGAATCTGCAACCAACGCGCCCAGATGCCTCCCCTGGCCCAGGACGAGGGATGCGAGTGGGTTCTCCTCGAAAGTCGTCACCAGGACACAGTCCCCGGGAACAGTAAATCTGCGAAATCCAATCAGACATCCATAGGAGCATGCAGTGGAACGATTCTTCGGTGAGAGAATGCTCTGCGTGCGAGAAGCAATGCGCGCTGGAAGAAATTCGACGCCACACGAGACATTGAGTAGGAAGAGGACGCACGTCACCCCGCTATATCAAAATCTGTCTCATCCTCAACTAATATCGGTGAAGAATACCGTTCAAAAGCTACTACTCAGAAGCAACGAGTCGCGCGGAATGGTGGCATTTGTATGGTTGTTTGTTTGCATGCATGTATATATTGTCCACTAACCTTGCGACATAATAACCGCATCAATCACCTGTTGATCAGGTGGTCGGCAGTCGAGGTCGACAGGAACGTTGCGGTCGAAGGGTGCTTGTCGGAAACGACGAAGCCGACGGCCTCGAAACTTGCCTGGCGAGGACTTTTGAATGAAGCTGATGACGCCGCTCCCCTTGCTGCACGGCGTTTGCCAAGAGGATGCCCGTGGCAGGCGAAGTCGTTGGTCTTGTGAGCGACGAGTACGGAACAGCCCTGAGTAGTGAGGTGGTTCTTGAGTCTCTCAGGGATGCGCCCAGGTTGCCCCTCGAGGTAGATAGAAACCACAGGATTCTTCTCCATAGCAAGGTCTGCTGCCTTGAGACGTGCTGCGAGTAAAAACGGCAAAAGGGACGACGAACATGCGTCACAAGGCTTGAATGGCAATGATTTCATTGTATTTCGAGGCGCGTACAGCGTGATGTCGCCTCAGATATGGTTACCGATTGTTCTTCAAACCCAATGTGCAACTAGTGGCTATCTCCCGCACTGGATACAACGTACAGCAACAAAGGAACATATTTCGTACGTACATGCTCATGATGACCTACATAAAATAATGAAAGAACCCCAACAAACAAGCCAAGCTAACAGGGCGCAAGCCCACTGGAGATAACGGGTTATCCCCCCAAAAAGACTAATTCATTCGTGCCCTCTCTCTCATGTCCAGCAACTGCAACACCCACTTACCCTCCATGCAAGGGAAGTCGAAGTTCGCTATCGACCCCATAGCGATCACCACGGTACCCCTCGGGTGAAGGACGGACTCAAGGGCTACGAGTCCGGCATGAAGACGTTCTGTTGCCTCGTCAGTGCCGTCCAGGAGGCTGGGGTCAGCTCCAAGGTTGACAAAAACCAGCATCGCAGAGTCCCTGTCTACCTCTAAAGGACGAGTGGTAGAGTCGAAGTCGCTGCTGAAGATGTCGACAGACTGTACCGTAGTAACCTCTTTCCTGAATAAATACAAACGTCGTGAAAAGGCAAGAACACAGGAAGAACATCAAGACGGATAGATACACTCCTACCCCGACGATGTGAGAAACATCTACACAATCGACCGCTCCCAATCACTCATTCATTGACGTAAGACCCTTCCATCCATTCACTCACGTTAAGTCTTGCACGTAATAACGGAGCTATGCGACCAAGCAAGTCGTACACACGTCGAAAGGCAAGAACCCACCTAAGTTTGGCCCATTGTTCGGTTTTGGCGGCGGCTTTGCTGAGGGTTCTCACGGAGGGTGTTCCCTTTCTCTTGGCCGCCGATGAAAGAAATGCGTATCCGACAGAAATGGGGGTACGGAAAAAATGAAGGTAGTGGGCGTTAGCGAATATCAGCGGGCATTATTATCGCACCGCATCCGATGAACATGGTTCGCAACCCACCTCCTCACGTTCGTCGTTAACGCAATTCATGCTTACCTGTTGGAATCTTCCCGTCATCCCCCGAGGTGGTTGACTCCTTCGCGGCTGGCTGGGCAGTTGCAGTCTTCGAAGTCGTTGGTTCTGGCGCGGAAGACGAGGAAGAGTCTCCTGCAGCAACTAGCGCTCCTACTACGCGATCCCCCGTGCGACCTCCGAAGTTCCACGAGTGGGTTCCAAAATCTGTCTCTGGTGCCCCTTTATTTTGTTTTCTTTCGAATTGCTTCATTATTTCTTCGGTTTCTAGGCTACGTGTTGGGGAGAGAGACGCACGAAACGCTCATCGTCTCTCCGGCCGCGTTAGCTGCAAAGGCCGGCGTCAACTCTTACAAATCCATCTCTCTCCCCACAAATACTAGCCGGGGGACTACGACTGCAAACGCAGGAGTCCCAAAACTGACCAAGTCCTCAAATGGTACACACCATTCTACAACACCTGACTAGATACCGAATATTCCCGAACTTATGCCCCCACCTTCGAAAGAAAAGGGATGGGAGGGCGGGATTTTCTAAACTGCCGCCGCTACTGCGTTAGGCGGCTGCTGCTGTCCTTCCGTTGACTTCACGCGCTCTGTAGCTGTCACACGTTACCCGACTTTGCTACAGCCCCTGCGTGGACTCGATCACGGAATGACACCCCCAACTATAGACTAATAATTCCAAACACCGTGACCCTGGGTTTCCGGTAGAAAATGAAGCCAAATTCTAATTCGACTGTTACAAAATAAACACCAGTTTATTCTATCTGCTTCGACGAACAAACCTTCCTTTTATTTTGTTTTCTTTCGAATTGCTTCATTATTTCTTCGGTTTCTAGGCTACGTGTTGGGGAGAGAGACGCACGAAACGCTCATCGTCTCTCCGGCCGCGTTAGCTGCAAAGGCCGGCGTCAACTCTTACAAATCCATCTCTCTCCCCACAAATACTAGCCGGGGGACTACGACTGCAAACGCAGGAGTCCCAAAACTGACCAAGTCCTCAAATGGTACACACCATTCTACAACACCCACATCGAGGTCAGTTTCTGGACGACTACCGAATAAGTCAACTATCCGTTCCCCCAGACGGTCCCCTCCCCCGGCTGTCTCGATACGATCCTACTGCCGTCTGTAAGTTTCCGTGACACTCGCCGCGAATCCTCTACATTGTTTCGCGCGTACGGCTTGTATGCATCCGACCTCCACTTCCCTTCTCTCTGAATCACTCGTTCTGCGATGTCTCCGCCCGATGCAAGAGCCGTCGCGCCTCCAATTCGCAACGAGTGCAACGCGTACTCCTGGGGGTTACGCCCCGACCTCGCTACCACTTCTCTGAGTGCACGGAGGGCAGCAGTATACCTCACTACTCTCACTGCTCTTCCACTACGGTACGAAGCCAACGGTGCGGAGTCAGGGAACGTCGCATGACACGATAACAGCTCCACCACAAGAGCCACCGCGCCACCGCGTGCTCTCACACCTGACTGCGGTCCGGTGACTTCGTCTCGCGTACGAACCCGTATGTTTCCTTTCTGCTCTTGATCGGCCTTGTGCCCTCTAAACCTCATTTCGACACGGTCTGCTCTACGATAGTGACTAAAGACTAATTGCGTCTCGCCAGCAAACAATGCTACGTCCGCCCTCGTAAGACAGTGTGCCTCATGCACCCTGCCCGCATCATTCGCGAACACCTCATCAGACCGTGTGATAAAGAGATAGGACAAGCACAGACACAGCCACATCACTCTGCCCCCTTCCCCCCAGTTCTGGCTTGCGCTTTCCCCGTCCAGCAGCATACGCCAAGACACAGGCAGGCGCACACGGCGTACCGTCCCCACAGCCACGTGGTTCCTCGCAATCCCCCTTAGCGCACATTTCAACATCGGAGACGACAAGTCTAGCTCGACAGAAGCTTCCAGCCTATGAAAATGTTGTACAGCCGTGAGTTTTCCGGATATTGTACTCGCTAGATTACCCTCAGACTCGAAACACCAGGCTACGAAGTCTATCAACTCCCACACATGAAGGTCCCCGGCACGTTGCCCTAGGAACTTGGGCTTCTCCGTCAGCCTGCGAAACGTGCACCAAGAGTTGAAGCCTGACGTGTAAGTCCTTCTAGACGAAGACGCAACTGAGTGCTCGACGAGCTGCATGCCAAGACGTCGGTAACAAAGTCCCGTCCTGCCTGTCCCAGGTCCTGAACCTGCTGATAGCCCTGGAGCCAACCTCGTGTAGACCGGCGTGCTGCCGTTCGATTTAGCCGCAGGTGCGCTGCCATCCGAGGTAGGCCCCCCCGCTACGCGGGAGAGCCCGCACCCCTATTTGTCTTTCCCGTGGGTGAAGAAGCCAGCGGCCTTGGGTCTCGCGCCGCCCTCGCCAGCGGCGCGCGCCTCTCCTCCGCGCCCTCCCCCGTTGCCGTGGCCAACGCCGCGCGCGCCGGTTGCCGGAGTTTCGGACGCTCCGCGCCTAGCGTGGGAAGGGTTCTGGGCGTGGATGTGTGGGCAGTTACGATCATGGCAACCGAACGACGAGTTGAAGGCGAAGCAGTAACCACGAGCGTGTCGAGCGATGCCGCCACTTTCTCTGTCACCAGGACGCCTTTGCGAAGCAAGGATTGCCACTCCATCTGCGACAGTTTTGAAACTGCCGGGGGCCGCCCCAGGATGAGCCACGCTTTTACCCGGCGGAGGTCCCCCCACATCCGCGCTCTATCCTTTGCCGTAGCCTTAGCCGCCTCGGCGCTGGGTGTAGCGGGGGCCCGAGAGGCCGATGGTGGGGCGGTTGTGCCCACAAGTTGCACCCCCCCCCGGAAGGCCAGGTCCTGCTGCTTGGGTGGCGATCAGGTCGTCGATCGTTGCTTGAAGCTGCTGGCGATCACCGGCAGCCTCATCGCGCTTCCGCTGCAGCTCCTCCCTCAGGCCGTCCACCAGCCCGCGGAGAGAAGCGAGCTCAGTCTCATCAGCGGGGGGGTCGCCGCGGGTGCCTGTCCCTGGCGCTCGCGAGGAGGATACCGCTCGACGCCTCGCGGGAGTACGTGATCCGCTGCGCGTCGAGGGGCGAGCCGTCGAGCTCGCCACCGATCGCGCGGTAGACCTCTCGTGCGTGGTGTCGAAGGTGTCGCCGCCCGACCTCGCCCTGCTTGCCCAGCCGCTGCCCTGCCGCTCCGCGTGGAGGCCCGTGTCGGCATCTGGTCGCGGTTGGAGTCGTATAAGCAGCGGACCGGCGGCAGGCGGCGGGCGAGCGTCAGGGCGGCGTTGCGGGAACACTTCTTTTCCTCTTCATCGTGGGCGTAGTCGATCGCGCGCCTGGATCTGCAGTTAGAATGGTCTACAAATCCTATCTTCGGGCGAAACTATCTGACGTGGGTTTTCGTCGGGCCCAGAACGACGCGTTGTTATATCGCGAGCTCGCGTTAGTTCATTCTCGACGCCTGTGGATTGAATGGAGTGATTATTGCTGCTGACGCTACGGTCACCGGACGTCGACCAATCCCGAATATTTCTCTCTTTGGAACACTAGCGATGGTTTCTCTTTTTTTTTTTTTATATATATATTTTCTTGGATTCGGTGAACCCCGGTTCGCCATCGGCACGGGTGCTTCCACTCATTGGCGCGTCCCGTGCTGATACGTGTTTTTTTTTTTTTTTTCGATGCGTTGGATACGGTGAACTCCACTTGCCAACAGCGCGGGTGCTTCCACTCATTG